GGCCACAGACCTTCCTCAGACGCCACCCGCCCCGGCCCCACACCAAGGGCGACACCGTCCCAACCTCCTCCTCAGCTAAAGCCGAACGACCGGCACCCACCTGACACCCTCGGAGGAGAGAGCGCGTGTGCGGAGCGGGCTGAGGACTTTCTGAAAAGCCGACTCCACCGCCCGGCCGCCGCGTCCCCAGCCCCCCGCACCCCACCGCAGTCCGCGGAAAGGCTCGGCGTCCGCGACACAGACAGCAAGGGTCGGGACGAGGTCCTTCAGGTCTCGAGAGCGACGACATCACACCTACCTCACGACGTACTCTCCTCACCGGACCAACCCTGCGGGTAGGTCCAGCCACCGGCATCCACACTACATCTCCGGGGCCAACGTCAAATCACCACTGGGTTCCCACGCGCACCGCATCGCGCCTGCGCACAGCCCAGCAGCTGGACCAGGCTGTCAGTGCGCATGCGCCGGACTCCAGCTCTCCCCACACACCTGATTTTGAACCCTCCGCCCAAACCGGCCGGCGCGCGCATGCGGGTTTACAGTAGCTGGTGTCTCCCCACCCCGGCGAGAAGCTGCGGCTCTGGGGTTTGCAGCCGGACGAGGCGGAAGTCGCTCTGTTCCTTTACAGTCCCTCAGTCTGGCGGAAATTAAAGAGCTGTAAGAGAGGTTCCGGAGCTGGCCCGGCGTGTAGGTGGCCAGATGGAGGCCGAGACCGCACACCCGCCACTGACCCGCCGCCCGCCGCTGGCCTCTTCCTGGGATGCCGCGTGTGGAGCCCTGGCCCAGAATCTCCATCTCACCCGGTCTGATCTCGGCGCCCGGGACGCCGACTGGGAGGAGCTGCTGGCGCCGCCTGCCACCGGGTGCGCCGGGCCGGCGGGGACTGGGGTTGTGCTCGGTGCCAGCCACGCCCCTGGGGGAGCCTGGAGGGGAGGCGGGGGCCGTGAGGGGAGAGGGTCTGGACCCGGAGACGAGCCGGTGACGGGTCTGTGCGGGCGGCGAGGGCGAGGAGGCAGGTCCCGGGTGGCGGGAGGGTGGGGGCGGGCCCGCGGGAAAGAGGAGGCGACTCCGGCGTGAGCGTCGGGCGCAGGGGACGGGGGGCAGGTGACCTGAAGACTCGGCGTTTCACCCCCTTCCCCCTTGTGTCCGTCACGTCGGCTCCTGAGGCCCCCTGTCGGGATCAGAACCGCCTTTCTATCCTGAAACAAAAACCTCCTGTCGACCAAAATAGGCATTAAAAAAAAAATCCAGATGTCGAAAATCTTCCTCAGCTTAGTTTTGAAAATGGCACACTTTGGTCCTTTATTCCATTCTGCACCCCGCCCCACTCCCACTTCTGAACTGTTTTTTAATTTACACTAGCTGCCCAGTACATATATTTCATTAACTGGACAGGCAATTATAGGAAGTCGCTTAGAATGTATTACAGAAGTCAAGGGAAAAGAGTGGAGAGCCCTCACCTCTAAAGCATCATTTCCTTGGGAATTCTGTATTGAGCATTTCGTCAGTGCTTTGCAAGGCGCTTGGTCTCCAAATGCAAATGTAAATGAGTAGGATAACATGTCAACCCCTGTGGCCCATTAAGTGGGTTAATGACAGTGTTCAGAGAACTGTATAATATTCTTCATTTTCTTTTCAGCCAGGATCTGGTGATTTTGAAAAGGAACGTGAACAGCCAAGATGAAAACCCCTGCTTCCTTTACCTGAGATGTGACCCTCCTGGAGGTGAAGAAATCGTTTCTATTGGCATTTTAAGTTCAGCAAGAAATATGGAAGTATACTCAGGAGAGGAGTACTGTGGAACCAGTAGGGGCAAGAATGTTTGTAATGTTCTGGATAACAGGTTTGTGACGTATGCGTGTGGAAGTGTTCTTCTGAAGTAGTGTTTTATTTTCTTGAGCTTTTGTGATATTTATTGATTCTCTGACATTGTATCTGACCTTGGTGCCAGATACTAGGGGAGAGAAGATAAAAACATACCAGCAGACATAAAAGTTTAGACCTTTAGGGATCTTAAAGACAGTCTAGATCAGCCTAGTTGTTTTTATAAACGTGGAAATTGAGAGCTAGTGGAAGAGAGAGTAGTTGGTAAAAGATCATAGCTAGTTAGTGGAAGACTGATCAGATGAAGTTTTGGTAAGTGTTTCTTGTCTGTTTTCTTTAACTCACAGCGATCTGTTTTCCAAAAATTAAGTTGTCTATCAGTCTGGAACTTTGAACATTTTCCTGTAGGAAACTCTTTACACATAGTGCGTGAGCCCGACACTGTGCCATACCAGTATATTTATTTAACCCATTTTTATACTTCTTGATTTTTTTTTTCTGATTTCTTACAAAGATTCTGACCTAATCTCTCCTTAATATGAATCAAAATATGAAGTGTTTTATATACCGTGCATGTTGGACATAATGGGTATGTTATTGAGCTTTACAGTGTGCTCTGTGCTACGTAAGTATACATTTGATATCTAATTTCATTTTCTTATACAGCTAGTAAGTGGCAGATGTTGTCTTTGTAGCCAGTGCACTTCAGTAGGAAGTCCCAGCTGTTTATGCCTCACCAGGAAAACTGAATCCAAGGATTTAAATATTGTCCTGGAAACTTTTAATTTTAAATGTAACTGTTAAAAGTGATAATATGTATTTTTTTTTATAAATTAAATCTTTTTTATTTTTAGTGAACATGAAAAGATTATTTTGTACAAAAAATATCTAAAATTGGAGTCTTCCACACATGCTTGTAAAATAAAGGTAAGTCATTCCTAAATTTTAACTAATTTGAAAACTACAGTTGTTTTTCTACTATATATACTTATTATCTATAGGTTTGGTAATGTAGTTAGTCCAACTTGGTCCCTGGTTTTAGTTCAGAAATACTCAGTAAACATGTAAAAAGAATTTCTTTTCTAAAAAATTGTCAACATTCTTCTGTTAAAATTTGACCATTTATTAGCTATGGTTGTAACCAAAAGTGGTGTCCAGCTGCTCGCCACTCAAACAAAGTTTGCTTTGTTTTGGATGCTGGCAACAGCAGGGTTGGGGCGTTGAGGGTGCTGGACTCCTGTCTGAAGGCCGACTCCTCCCACTGACCATCATGGGGCAAGAGCTTTTATAGACAGACGGAGGGGGCTGCATGCAGAAACAGCACAGCCACCTCTGACAGTCATCTTAAAATTGGTCATGTGGTGGCCTGACCAGCATCATCTTGATTGTTCTTCAGTTCCAGGGTTGGTTTATTCCCTTTTCCTTGAGGCCAGTTCTCGGAATTGTGGCAACTTCTGTCGTGGCTACAGTCTGGTCATCATGTAGTTAACTTCCTCCACCTAGTGAGGGTTCCAGTATCTATAAGACAGCTCGCAGGATGTGGCTCAGAATATGATCTATAGCCCTTGAGGAGGAACTAAAGGTCCTTGACTATGCTTAATGACTAAACTATTATTATTTGGTCTCCTTTGACTGTTTTCCTTTGTTTCTGCAGTTTCTCACTTGTCTGATTAAACTTATTCTTTGGCTAAAGTTTTTCCACAGACCAAAGGCAGGCTGAGGACAAGGGGGGCAAGGACCATAGGGTCCTGCTCCATTTCCTAGTCATGTCATGTACTGTTGTTAGTACAGCAGTATAGTACTTTTGGGCCTTAAAAAACTGAGTTAAAAACATTTTTTATCTATATATAAAACTTAGGTGCCAAGAAAACCACAAGCAGTTTTGGTCCCCAAATCTAGAAGGATAGAACACAATCAGGGAGGATTCAGACATGGGTACCACAAAGTTAAAGGAGTTTGGATTGGTGTCTTCAGCCTGAAAAATATTATTAAGGTGAACTTTACTAAGCTCATCAGATCTAAGGAAATGGTACTGAGCTGGAAATCGAAAGCCCTATTTTTTTAAAATTTTTATTGGAGTAGAGTTGATTTACAATGTTGTGTTAGTTTCAGGTGTACAGCAAAGTGAATCAGTTATACATATACATATATCCACTCTTTTTTGCATAAGCCCTGACTGTTAAATGAGCGCTCTTGCTGACTAACACAATAACCTTGGGCAAGTTCCTTCACCTTTTTTGACCTACCTTATGGGTAATATTAGGGAACTGAAGAAAATTCTTGGATTGATTATTTTTAATTTCTCAAATTCTGTGCTGATTATTACTTACAGAAGAGCACACAACTGATTATCCCAAGATGTTGTTTTAGGTGTATATACTAATAGCTTCTAAAGTCATTTAAATAAGGCAATGCATTCATCCAACAAATACTGGAGTGCCTGTTGATGCCAGATACTGTACTTGGCATTCAGGAATTGGCAGTTATGAAATAAATTGGAATGAAGGCCTCACATCACAAATATTATAGTGGGCAACACATAATAGGTTGACTCAGTGTGCAAAATAGGTACTACATTTGCTAGTGAGACGGACTTGGGGGTTAAAAAGCAGAACAGGGATAATATGGAGGTTGGAATGTGGGTGTTTACATTTCATGAGGTATTTACTTACTTGTTGATGACAGTCACATCTTTGGTGCCACACTGAGTTTTTAGATCATGGGTCTGTGTTCGCCTGTGTCTTTGTGTGATATATGGGTTTGTTGTGTCTCTGAAGGTGAATGGTATTTGAAACTGTGCTGTGGAAGTACCAGGGAGTGAAAGAGTGTTTCATTTAGGGAAATCCTTGGGTTTGTATGAAAGCTTCTTCTGGGCCAATAGTATATGTAAGTTAAAAGTAATAGTTACTGATGCATATGTTTGAGCACTTATTCAATGATATATACTGGAAATTTTAACACATAATCCTCATAACAACCATGTGAACTCATTTTACTCCTGACTCAAGTTTGGTATTTGCCCGTGGTCACCCAGGCAGAGCCATCACTGAACACAGGTCTCTCTGATTCTAAATGCTATTTACTTTCCACTTTGCTGCTTTGTTGTCCTATACCACACATGAAATGTCTTTTGGTCTAGAAGCATGGACAACATGAAGAAGCATAAAACATTGGAAAAGCTACTGGGATAGAAGCCAGAAGAAACAAGCTCAGAGCTCAACTTTGCTAATTGGGTTTCTTTTGCAAGTTAAAAAAACCACCCTGAACTCCTCTTTTTATGTGTAAACTATTGAGCTCTCTTAGGTTGTATTGATATTCCCTACAGTTCTAAATTCTAAAATTCTGACTTATTTATATTTAGTATTTCACAAACACTTTGCATGTGACACTGGACAGTCTTATTTTGTATTAAATAATACTATAGCAAGTTTCAGTATGTTACGATCTCAGATTGGTATAGTTTATCTTTAATTCCCTAAACTAAGTAAGTAAAACATTATTTACACATAATCTTTTATTTAAAAAGGACTTTTTGCATTTATATTGTTTTCTTGAGTCTTTTTTTGGTCTATGACTGTTCTAGAGAAACCTTTAAAATGTACTTGGAGTTAATTTTTAGATTCTTGAATGCTTCAGTCTTACTGCAGTATTAACAAGAAGTGACCTTAGATAATAATTGTTTTTATTATCATTATTAATTTTCCTGAACTTTTGTATTATAATAGCTGCTCTCCTTTGGTGAAAAGCAGTGTGTGTTCATCAGTAAAGTTGTGGTACACGTGAGGCCACTTTCAGCAAATTCTTCAGCAGGCCCTCCTGCTCTAGGATCAAGGATAGACCTGGAGAGGGTCCAAACTATCATGGAGTCCATGGGGTCAAAGTTGTCATCTGGAGCTCAGCAACTGATGAATATGGTTATTTTCCAGCAACAGGTAAGTAGAAATGGATTTCTTTCCAGATACTGTTAAAATTCTTTAAATGATGTCTTCTTATAAGGACATGTAGAAACATAAATCTTTTTATTTCAACTTTTGTTATTGATTTAACTGTTAGCTTTACTAACTTTTCTAAAAATAACGTTATGTAGACCTACTCTCTTGCAAAAAAATATTTCTACTACAGACTTCACAATTTTCCATGAATTCACTCATTTATTCATTCAGCAAGTATTTATTTAGCCCCTTCTTAGTGAATACCACAGTTTGGGTTACTTTAGAAGATTCAAAGATGAATTAGTCGATAACCTGTCGTTAAGGATCTCTGTAGTCTTGTTAGGGGAGTCAGGGCATCTAAGTGGGGAATGATGAGGAATGCTAGGAAAGGCTTATGAAAGGAAGTAGCGTTTTATCTAGGCCTTTAAAGAGGAAGGGTGGGGTTAAGCAAGTAAATTTGGAGGGATGCAACTTGAGAGATAGAGAACAGTATGGATTAAATCTTCAGTGCTAGAGGAATAGGATGTAGCTAGGAAATGAATACAAGTTCATTTCTCTGGAGTGAAGAAGTGACAGGAAGTTTCAGGTAGACTGGGGCTGGATCTTAGAGGATTTTGAATGATGTTATAGAGTTTGTGGGTGTTTTTTAGCTCTGTTTTAATAAATTTAATCCGCTATTATGTGTAAGATGAGTCAGTAGGAAATATGCGTCAACAGAAAGTGAGGCTACAAGAAGGAAAGCAGCTCTGTTATTTCCATCATCCAGAGGACAGTAAATGAGAGTCTAAACTTGGAAGGAGTAACCTGATGCTGGATTGTGAGAGGCTACAGCAGTGGGGCCATTGGGACTTGACAACTAACTTAAGATGGGTTCTGTGGGAGAAAAACAGAATCAAACGTGAAACTAAAGTTTTCAAAATGGTGTTACCATAATATACATGGAACCCAAGGGGGAAAGCGACTTGGGGGAAAAAGGAGTGTAATTTGGGAGTGTTGAGTTTTAGATGTGAATAACACATGCCCTGGGGTGATGATGTGAGACTTTGGAAACACAGGTGAGGCTGGTGGAGTGGAGGGAGGTTTGGGAGGAGCATGCCTAGTAGATGATGGGAAAGGGGGTGAGGGGAGAGACCGGAGCCAGGAAGGAAGACCCTGGGAGAGTAGGTGCGTTTGCTAAGAATACGGGGAGAGGAAAAGGGAACCAGAAGAGCAGGTCACGGCAGTGCTTAAGAGTCGCAAGAGATCTGATGTCAGGAGACCTGAATTCAAAGCTCTCAGTTATTTGGCATCGCTTCCTCTTTTTGAGGATAAATTTCTTCGTGTTTACAATCTAAACGATAATACTGGTAAGATCATAGGATGAAAGTGAAAACCAATAGTATGAGTTTAAAAGCTTGCATAACTTTTGTGAGATTTGCCAATATTAATTTAGGACGAGGATCGTTGGATCGACAGGCAGACACAGGGGAGCAGGAGCGTTGCTGATGGTCTTGGAAAGCATGGGAAGGAGAGCTGTGAAATGAACAGCGTCCATACTCTCCTTGCTCTGGCACTAGCATCTCACCTCCATACCTCAGGAGGCTCCTAGCTGGTCCTCCTGCACCACGCTCCCTCTCCACAGTGCAGCCAGCATGGCCTCATCGGACTCCACGTCCCCTGTGTCAAGCCCCCTGACTGCTTCCCTTGACACTCAGTACTAATCCAGGTTCCTTACGCTCTCCTCAGAGATCTGGGCCCTCGTTACCTCCTCAGCCTCATCTGCTGCATCTCCTTAGATGCCTTGCTCTAGACATTCTGATGTGGGTATTCCACAAACATCCAGACGTGCTCCCACCTCAGGACCTTTGCCCTCTTAACCGTTCTCTTTGGCCAGACTCCTCTCTTCCTGGCCTTAGCAAGTCTGCCTTTTTCTTGTTATTTCAACCTCATCTTAAACGTTCCATCTTGAATGACACCTTCCCTAACCATCCTGATTAAAATATTAGCCTTTTCCTCCACATCTGTATCATGTGTTTTCATCAGCGCTTTCTTGCCTGTTTTTGTTTATGTGTTCTTCTGTGTATCTCATTAAGATATAAGCTTTGTGCAAAGACGACCTGTCTGTCTAGTTTATGGCTCCGAGTAAATTTTACATAATTAATATATATGCCCTTTGGATTATCAACTAAATACTCCTTGGAGACCTTCAGGGGGTCAGTTTGAATAGTGATGAGATGGAAACCAGATTTTGAGGGATTAGATGGTAAATGGGTAGTTAGAATGTGGAGGTAGCCAGGGTAAAGTGGGTTGTTTCAAGAATGATAGAGATGAGGAACCTGCCGGTATCAGAATCCCTTGGAATGTTTAGAAAGTGCAGAATCCTGGCCCTCACCAGTGACCTGAAACACTGAGGTTGTGATCCAGGACTCACCTATTTTATACAGGCAATGCCAGATGAGTCTTATGCATAGCATATTTTAAGAACAGATGTTTGAGGGGAAGGATCCAGTGGACATAGAGATTAAACATTTAAAAACAGAAGAAATTTTTTGTGTGTGGAAAATTTTGGAAACATTAGAGAGGGTTAATGAATTAAGTAAAATCAGTTCATGGACTGATTTTTATGTTTTAAAACCTTGACTTTGGAAAAGAAATGACGTGAATAGTAGTTTGTGGGGTTTTTTGCCCATGTTTTTAGGGTTTTTTGTTTCATTCCCAAAATAATACATTTTCTTTGCTATGAACTTCCGTCCATTCACAAGTACATAAGGTATATTGTAAGAGGGCTCTCCCAACTCTCATCCTATTCCCAAGCTTGGTGTGTGTCCTTGTCGCATTTTCTATCATATAGAAACACAAGTCCTCCAACCAACAGCACGTGTGTTGTAACCCCCCAACACACGTGCTAAATCATTATCTATGGGGACATTTGGGAAACCCCCTGGGGAAGAAAGAAGGTGATCCTGTTAAATCGTCTTTTAAACATGCTAGTAACAGCCTTCTTTCTCGGGGGGAGGCTGTATTTATGAATGATTCTCACAGGATATACCTGGGTCTCCAGGATTGCTTTTGTCCACAAACAAGGAATCCATGGAACGTCTTCCTGGAAAGTCATTTAAGCTCTGTAACTATCTGTTGAGTATAAAGTAGGGATGTTTCATGACCAGAACCTCTCCTTCTATGGAAGGGGTGTAAACCCACACTGTTTGGAACCTTCATGTTAATTGGGGCAGGGCCTGTCCTGATGAGGAAAGAAAGGACCTGGGGAGCAGCTTTCTAGACTCCCTGCTTCACCTTTGCCTTGTGGTTCCTTGTTTCCTGGAAAGTTTCTTGAAGTGATTTCTTCTTTCCTTGTATTTGAAGTTCACATGTGCTGACTTTCATTTGTTTTTGCTTTAGCAATTTAGAATAATTGAGTAGGAATTCTGAGTCAAAAGTGCCTGGCATAGTTGTCGTTTAATGTTATCTGAGGGAAAGCTGTGCCCGACTTTCTCAAAGAAAATATATTCAGTTATTCAAGATTTTCACTGTTTACCTTTTTCATCTGAAAAGATAAAAACATCGTTTTTTCTAGCTTTTTCAAGGTGATACTTTTTGGATTTTGTGATAATTAAAAAAGTTAAAGACAGACCTTTCAGAAATCCTACAAGATGTTCAGAGATACTTATTTTTCTCAGAAATCTGAGGGTATGTGTGCAAATTTGTATTTGTCTTGTTCACTGTCTTATTTCCAGTCCCTGAAACAGTACCTAACACAGAGTAGATTTCTGGTAAATATTTGTTGAATGAATGAGTTTGGAGCTGGCTTTATCCAAGAATCATTTTTTAGAATATTCAGAAAATATATGGACTGAGTGTTTTCAGCTAATCTTGTATAATATTTTTCTCAGTCTCTCTAACTAGATACTGAGCAACATTAAGTATGAGATGATATCCCCTATAAGAATCCCTAGTAGAGTTCTGTGTTTAGAAGTTAAGATGGAGGTGTATAACTTAACAGTTAGATAGGCTAGAGGTAGTTTTGCTTTTCTCTTGTGGAAAAATTGAAGAGCGTAGCAAGAGCATGGCCCTGTGTAGGAGACAGTGTAACCTGCTCTCAAAGGTGAGCCTGAGTCTTCTCAGGAAATAATATAGCATAGCTGGTTGAGTTGAGGCCACAAAACATAATCATTACCCTACAAATTATTAAAGCAGACTTAGCCAAAAGGTAGGTCGTTTTAGTCATCGAAAATGTCACAGAAGTACTCATATAACATCATACTTTAAATATGTAACTATCTGGTCTATACTCCAATGAAAATAAATTGCATATTCTTAGGTTGAACCATATGTGACGGTGGGCAGATGATTTTTTTTTCCTGTGTATTTTTTTTTCTTTTAACATCTTTATTGGAGTATAATTGTTTTACAATGGTGTGTTAGTTTCTGCTTTATAACAGTGTGAATCAGCTATACATATACATATATACCCATATCTCCTCCCTGTTTCGTCTCCCTCCCACCCTCCCTATCCCACCCATCTAGGTGGTCACAAAGCACCGAGCTGATCTCCCTGTGCCATCTGTTTACATTTGGTAGTATATATATGTCGATGCCACTCTCACTTCGTCCTAGCTTACCCTTCCCCCTCCCTGTGTCCTCAAGCTCATTCTCTACGTCTGCATCTTTATTCCTGTCCAAGGCAGATGATTTTTAATTCTATGAAAGTTATCAATTACTGTGACTGAATTGAGAGTACTAGATTTTATTACCGTATTAAGGAAACATTAAAATAAGCCCGTGCAATTTTACTAAGTATGTTTGTATTTGTTTGAATATTTTCCTTAGCAAAACTAGTGAAATGATTAGAAGTCCTGACTCTGGAGTTCGGTGGCCTGGGTTCCAGTCCTGCTTCTGCCACTGACTAGTTGTGTTACCTTGGCCAAGTTAACTTTAGTCTTGGTTTCCTAACTTGATATTGGGATAGTAGCTATAGCCTACTCCATGTGAAAGTTCTGGGGATCAAATGAAAGTAGGCAGGTTGCCTGACTCTGAGTTACTCCAGAGGTTACCTGTCATCATCACTCATGTTAATAATAACATTTTCTTATTTACCTTGCTTAGAATTGTATTCCCATTGGACAGCAGCTTCAGTCAGTTTTGGGAAGCACTGGATACAAGCACATGATCAGACTGCAATCATCATCCGCTTCAGGGGCCTTCGACAAGTCATCCCCCACACCTTTCCCTTCCAGGACTGGATTGACATCTGGAAACGTGGCTGAAGACTTAAAAGTTTACATTGATAAAAGTACGCAGCCAGCTGGTGGAGGAAATATGACAAGCCTCCAAGAGTGTAAAATTGTGCCACAAAACCATTCTCTTCCTGAGAATGATCTTAAGAATGCAGTATCTTCTTTGTTACCAAAGAAAGCAAGCGACAGCTCACATATACCTAACTCTGAGTTGCTGCCTGTTCTGCAGAATCTGTGTAGTCAAGTGAACCATCTCCGTGTGGGACCCAACACCAAGTGGCAGGAAAGCATCACCAAGCCCGGCGAAGGCGTTGTTGGTGTTACGTGAGTGTCTAAGACAAGTGTGGTTTCGATTGGGGGCAGGAGGGGGGAGGCAGGTGGAGGAAAGCAGGTTTGTTTCAATAACTACTGCCTGAAAATGTTTCCAGAGAGGATCGTAGGAGCTTTCACATTTCACCATTAACACACTATAGGAAAGAAACACTCAGCAGAGTAGGATGGATTGCTTTGAAAGAAGTGGGTCAAACTGGAGGTGCCGAGCACTTCTCAGGCATCTGATGGAAGGGGTACAAGCAGCAGATAGGGTCAGAGTAGAGAGTTGTCTGCATGAATGGAGAGGAGCTGTGGTGACCATGATATGTACATTTTTTGCCTGATTATATGAAGTGAGCCATTGTAACAGATGTCCTCTGTAGATCGTGTGTGACCTAGGCTAATTTCGGAGTCATCCAAACAGTTTTCAGCTCTGAACTATTTGTAGTGTACAGGCCCTTATCCCCTGATCTCATAATTCCAATTTTTTCCAGTCCTGCTTTGACTGAGGGGTGGCTAAGTGTTTAGTATGTTCCCCATCCTTTATATAGATGTAATGTGTCCAAATTTTGCGCTGGATTGGAATTCAGGACTCTAATCATAGTTCTAGCTTAACTATTGCTTTACTGTTTAAATCTTTTGGCTTAGCCTTTTTTCCCATGTAAAATGAGGGAGTTGTATTGGTTGAAACTTTCTTAATGTCTCCAGTAGCAGTCTTAATGTCTCCAGTTGACGTTATTGAACAAGTGGTTCTTATTTGGGAAGGATAAGGAAAGATAACAATAGTCTTTAATTGTTGTTTTTTGTTTTTTTGTGTTTTGGCCATGCTGCGTGGCATGCGGGATCTTAGTTCTTAGTCTCCCGACCACAGATTGAACCCGTGCCCCTGCACTGGAAGCGCGGAGTCTTAACCACTGGACCACCAGGGACGTTCCAGTCTTTAGTTGTTGATAGTCTAATCAATGTTAACTTGTGATATAGCAAAACAAAGCAAACGAACAATAAAACCCAAAGGAAAGAACAAAAAACCTAAACAGATTTAAAAACTGCTCCTGTGTCCAGCTGAGGTGGAATGTCCCCATTTCTCTCAGATACCCCACTTTACCAATAAAATCCCTGGACATAATCCAGCAAACATACAAAGACTGTAAAAGGTGGAAAGAAGTCAGATTGCTCAGGGACTGTGAGGCTTAGTGTTCCTTGGTTCCTAGTTACCTGCGAGTTCCTTTCATCATAGATGGGTATAGGATTTTGTCAAATATTTTTCCTATGGCCATTCATATGATCGTGAATTTTCTTCTGTAGTCTGTTCATATGGTGAATTACATTAATTTTAAAAACTGAACCTGCCTTGTATACCTAGAATAAATCCCACTTGGTTGTGGGCTGTAATTCTTTTTTACACAATGCTGGATCTGATCTGCTAATATTTTGTTGAGTATTCTTGCATCTAATTCATTAGAGATACTGGTCTGTATTTTTCTTGTACTGTCTTTGTCCAGTTTTCACGAGGGTGATACTGGCCTCATAAGATGAGTTCTACATCTTAGAAGAGATTGTGTAAAATCGGTGTTATCTCTTCTTAAGATGTTTGGTGGAAGTCTCTAAGGAAAGCAGCTGGGCCTGGTTATTTCTTTCCTGGAAACTGTTAAATTACCAATTCAATTTCTAACATAGTAAAGTTGTCAATTCTCCCTATTGATATGCAGGCTTAATATTATGCATATTGAAATCCCACCACAATATTTGGCAGACATAAGCAGGATCATTTTCAAAATTATATGAAAA